TAAATACAGTTATAACCACCCACGACTGCGGTAACTGTTGGACGGTGACCTCACTCTTGCCGAGCACCTGCTCAGCGTCAGACACTTTGCTAATGTCTCCACGCGTGTGTCCCATGCTTCCCTAATGAGATTCCGAGAAGTGAAGTATAAAGGGAAAAGCATGGGCTTTGGGATAAGACAGGCCTGGATTTTAATTCTGCTCCACCATGAGCTTTCCAAGTTGTTTTGCTACTGAGCCTAACATTTTCCCCATACAATAACTCACCTCAAAGACATACTGTTTGTAATATGCCTGCTCATGTGCTCGGCCTGTTGCAAGAGTTTAATAGAAATTTCTAGGTTCATTCGTGGTCTGGATTTGCTTTTGAGGCACGGTGGGTACCTTCTAAGGTGGTCCCTGTGAATCCCCTAGCCTTGAGTGTAGGGGCCCTGGGATCTGCCTCGAAGGAATAAAATACAACAAAAGCGATGGGATGTGGGTCCTCAAAACATTAAATAAAGAACTACCATATGGCCCTGGCTGGTGCGGCTCAGTGGATTGACTGCTGGCTTGTAAACCAAAAGGTCAAAGGTTCGATTCCCTATTAGGTCACATGTCTGGGTTGCGGGCCAGGTCCCCAGTTGGGGGCATGTGAGAGGCAACTGATTGATGTTTCTCTCCCTCTCTTTCTCCCTCCCTTACTCTTTCTGAAAATAAATAAAATAAAATATTTTTTAAAAAAAGAATTACCCACATGATCCAGAAATTTCACTTTTTGGTATATGTCCAAAAGAACAGTAGGCAGGTTCTCAAGTACATAGCCTTGCACATGTGTATTCCCAGCAGCATTATTCACAACACCTGAGAAGTGGAAGCAACCCGAGTGTCTATCAACTGGTAAATGGATAAACAAAATAAGTGTATCCACACAATAGAATAGCATTCAGCCTTAAAAAGAACATTCTGACACATGATACAACATGAATGAACCTTGAGGACATTGTGCTGAGTGAAGTAAGTCCATCAGAAAAAGACAACTACTGTATGATTCCACTTCCATTACATTTCCCTAGAGTCAAATTCACAGAGACAGAAAGTGGAAGGGTGGGTGCCAGGGGCTGGGGAGGCGAAGGGGGAGTTAGTGTTTAGTGTTTGGAGTTTTAGTTTTGCAAGAGGCAAAGAGATATGGAGCCGGACAGCGGAGATGGTTGTGCAACAAGGTGAATGTACTGAACACCCTGGGCTGTGTATATTTAGAAATGGTTAAGGTGGTGAGTCTTATGTTGTATATTTCACAATAATAATAAAAGAACCTTTCTCTCAGCTCATGACCAAAGACGTTACTGAGCATGCCTGCTGCAGCTAAAATTAGGCTGGACTCATGCGGGACTCGAGCGCCAGCCTTCAGAGTTCTCATACCTGCAGGGGGCGCAGAGTCAGCCTGCCCCACCAATCAGCCCCAACCAGCCTTCCAGGTTCTTGCCCACCCTCTTCCCAAAATAGGCTGGGAGGCTATTCTGGTACAGTCTGTCCTCTCATAAAATGAGATCGCAGACCATTTGTGCTGGAGGGCAGGGAGCCAGCTTATCGCCAACACCCACCGGTCGCCAGCCGAGCCCAAACACAAGCGCTACGGGCACTCGTGGAGCCGGGTTTGGTGATCCAATCCAGACCTCCTTCCTAGGCCAAGGGCTTTCCAGCCACTCCTGCTAGTTATCCCAAGAGGTAACGGACCCTCGAAGAAGGGGCGCTACCTGCCCAAAGCCACACACCTCGCAGGTGATGTGAACCGGTCTGAGAAACTTCTGCATTTACTCTGTTTTATCCTTTTCATTTTAAAGTAGAATTCTCAGCATACAGTTCTGTGAGTTTTGACAAAGACATAGGTATGGATGTCCCACCACAGTCAAGACACGGAACTGTTCTGTCACCCTTCCCAAATTCCCCTGGTGCCTTTTCAGACCATCTCTCCTCCCACCTCCAGCTGCTGGCACCCACTGACCTGTTCTCTGTGCCTATAATTTGACTTTCCTAGACCATCATTTAATGGGAGCCCACAGGATGTAGTATGTCTGGCCTCTTCCACTTAACAAATGAATTTGACATTCATCCACTTTGCCGTATAGGAAGTTTGTTCTTTTTCATCACTGGGTATTCCATTGCGTTCCATTGCATGATGGGACCAATGTATGATGTTCATTCACTCACCAGCTGATGGACATTTGGGAAGCTTTGAGCATTTGGTGATTACCATAATTAGCTTATTTTAAACATTTTTTATGTGAACATGAGTTGGTGTTTCACTTAGGAATGGGATTGGTGTGTTATATGGTGATGTTTGATTTCGTAAGAAAATGCCCAACTGTTTTCTACCAGTACTATGTGAGTGTTCCACTTGCTCCAAATATTTAGCACACCTGGCATTGTTAGGGTTTTGGGGTTTTTTTTAAGATTATTTATTTATTTTTTAGAGAGAGGGAAGAGAGGGAAAGAGAAAGAAACATTGATCGGTTGCCTTTTGCGTTCCCGGAGCCAGGGACCTGGCCTGCAACTCAGGTATGTGCCCTGGCTAGGAATCAAACCAGCAACCTTTTGGTTTGCGGGACAACACCCAACCCACTGAGCCACACCAAAGAGGACAGTTATGTCTATGTTACCCATTCTGAGCTGTATTGTAGTAGTTTGCTGGGGCTGCCATCACAAAACACCGGCTGGCTTAAACAACAGAAATTAATTTTCTTACCGTGCTGGCACCTAGAAGTCCAAGATCAAGGAGTTGGCAGTGTTGGTTTCATCGGCGACCTTTCTCTGTGGCCGGTAGACAACCATCTTCTCCCCATGTCCTCCCCTGGTCTTCTCACTGTGTGTGTCTATGCCCTGATCTCCTCTTCTTATAAAAACACTAATCATGTTGAATTAGGGTCTACCCTAAAGACCTCATTGAAACCTAACCATTTCGTTGAAGAACCCATCTCCAAGTCTTGTTACATTCTGAGGTAGTAGAGCTTGGGACTTCAACATGTAAATTTTGAGGGTAACACAATTCAGCCCATGACAGGTATGCAGTGGCATTTCGTTGTGGTTTTCATGTGTATTTCCTATGATTGTTTGCCATCCAATATATTTTCTTTGGTGAACTGCTAAATCTTTTGCTTAATTATTGATGTTTTTTTCCTTGCCGAAGATTTTTTCCAACCTTGATTGAGGTTGTATAGCCAAACAGTCAACTGTTCATATTAATAAGTATACAATTTGATAAATTGTGACACATATAGACCCGAGAAGCCATTACCACAATCAGGGCGGTGAAGACATCCATCCCCCAGTTCCCTTGCGCATTTAAAAAAATTCTTATTTATTGGAGAGAGAGAGAAATACTGATTTATTGTTCCACTTATTTATACATTCGTTGGTTGATTCTTGTATGTGCCCGGACCAGGGATCAAACCCTCAGTCTTGATGTGCCGGGGCAACACTCTGACCAACTGAGCTGCCCCGCCAAGACTTCCTTGTGCTTGTCATCCTTTCCACCCACCCGCTCCTTCGCTCTCCAAGCACCTATTAATCAGCTTTCTTTCTTTTCTTTCTTTTTTTTAAACTTTATTTTTAGAGAGGGGAAGGGAGGGAGAGAAACATCAATGTGTGGTTGCCTCTCGTGCGCCCTCTTACCAGGGACCTGGCCTGCAACCCAGGCATGTGCCCTGCACTGAGAATCAAACCAGCGACCCTTTGGTTCACAGGCCGGCACTCAGTCCACTGAGCCACACCAGCCAGGGCTAGTCAGCTGTTATTAGAGCTGATAAGCTTTCTGATTCTAGAATTTAGATAAAGGGACTCAGACAGTATGCATTATTTTTGGAGGGCTTTTTCTTCACCCATTGCAGTGTATCTGAGGCTTGTTCATGCTGTTGCATTTGGTTCCTTTTTATTGCTGAGCAGTATTCCATTGGATAGAGTAGCTATTCATCCACTTGCTGTTTTGGGGGCTATTACAAGCAAAGCTGCTATGACTTTCGCAGGCATGTTTTTCTGTGGACACACACTTCCATCTCTCTTGGGCAAATACCCAAGAGTGGAATGCTGAGTCATATGGTAAGTGCACATTTAACTTTTAAAGAAACTGCCAAACCGTTGTCCCCAGTGGCTGCACGGCCCACAATCTATGAGAGTTTGAGTTGCTCTGCATCCTCACACTTAGTATGATCAGTCTTCCTAATTTTAGCCATCCTCGTGGGTGTGAAGTGATACCTTCCCACCCAGTTCCCTGATGACCAAGGATGTTGAGTGTCTCTTTTTCTACTTATTTCTATGCAACCTGTATATTCTCTATGGCAAAGTGCCCACTCAAATCCTTTGCTTTTTAAAAAATTGGGCTGTTTGTTTTCTTACATTTATTGAGTTTTCAGGATTTTTAAAATATTTTGGATATAATTTTTTTAAAGATTTTATTTATTTTTAGAGAGGGGGAAAGGAGGGAGAAAGAGAGGGACAGAAACATTGATCAATTGCCTTTTGTAGGCACCCCAACCGGGGACTGAATCTGTAACCCAGGCATGTGCCATGACCAGGAATCAAACTGGTGCTTTCGCTTTTCAGGACGATGTCCAACCAGATGACCAACCAACTGAACCGCACTGGTCAGGGCAGGATACAATTCTTTATCAGATATGTGACTTCCAAAAATTTTCTCCCAGTCTGTGGCTTGTCTTTTCTCTACTAACAGAATCTTGCATAGACTCAGCTGCAAATCCCAACCACTCCATTAAGGCCCCCATCTTTGAAGGACAGTGATAATCATCACCTCCCGCCCCCCCCCACCCCCGTTCCCAAGAAGCAAACAGGTTTGGAAGAGGGGCGGGGGGCCCATGACCTGTTGGTGGCAGAGCAAGAATTTGAACCCAGGTCTGCTTAACCCCAAACCCTACAGGCCCACCCGCAGCCACCATCTGCCACTGGCCATCAGGGGCTGTCATGAGCCTCTCTGAGAAAAAAGCAGGAATGAATCGGACAAGCCAACAAGTTTCTCTCACAACACATATATTTGCTGAACCTTCATGCCGAGCCTTGGTGGACATGCAAGAGGATGAATTCAGGGCCTTACCGCTTCAGGACCTGCCCAGCTCCCAGGTATCACCAGATCAAGGCACTTTCCCAACAGCTGGGCAACACCTGGGACCCCAATAACCCCAAACCAGTCTCGAGGCAGCTGCAGACTGACGCCCTGAGCACACTCCGAGCACTCGTGTGCAGAGGGCAGCCTCAGGCTGGCCTGGTCTGGGCCCAAACCCCACCTGAGACGGGCCATACTCAGCCCACCCACCCCTCTCAGGCATCCTGGTGACCTGGGATGAGATGAAGGCAGCTGGGAGGGGCCTTCAGCTACCATGTCCGTCGCTCACCCAGAAGCAAGTTCCCAGCCTGCTCAGCAGCAGCACAAGGCTCAGAAGAATAGGCAGCAACATGTTTGTTGAGTGACTGAATGAGCAGCAACGAAGGAGGCTGGCATGAGGAAGGCCTGAGGCTTCCAGGGCCCAACAGCGAGTGCTTGGAGGTCCTGGCAGAGCTGGACCTTGGAACCTCCACCCGCCCAGCTGCATGCCTTTGGATTAGGGGTAGCCCAAAGCCAAGGATCAGAACAAGCCTTTCCCACTCTCCAAGCTCTCAAGTCTGGCCTATGTGTGTCTACTGAAGTCCTCCTTCATGCCAGGTAACTTGTGGGCATTTCCAGTCCACAAACACAAATGATCTAAAATGCAAAGCCGTTCTCAAGCACAGTGGACCCCCGTTACGGGCTCTCCTCCTGACTGCCCGGTGCGTCTGCGCTTGCGAGGCCAGTTCGCGCCCAGCCTCACACCAGCCATTGTGCACGGAGAAGGGCCAGGGGACCCCGTTACACAGGCAGGGAACGCAGGGCTCAGAGAAGGCGGCACCTCGCCTGGGGATGCCCGGGAGGAGTCGGCAAGAAGCCATGAAAATCACAGCAGCTGCCTTGCAGGAGGTTCTTAGGGACCATCCGTCAAGTGAACGAGTCTCAGTGCTGCTTGAAATTTGGAGTCAAAACACAACTTTAGAGAGGAAATAATAGAACCAAGAATGTAACTGCCAGTGTTTCTGGCTAGAGCCACTGCCAGGATTCTGTGCACCCCCCAAAAAAAATCTGTGACTCTACAGGGGTCCCGTGGAAAGGGACCCCCATTCCTACAAACGCCCTTCACCCCCATATCTCATCTAATCCCTCACATCAGGCCTGGAGGATCGGCTAATGGCCCCAGTTTGCAGATGGGGAAGTTGAGGCCTCGAGAGGGGACAGTTGAGCCCAGGACACCTCCCTCCCCCTGACTCAGGGTTTTGGGTCCGGGTCTCCTCCCCGGCACCCCACAGGCCCATGGGCCACCCTCTAATCTGCCTTCTTGGTCTTCTTCTTCCTGGAGCCCTCACTCAGCTCCTCCTTGGACTTGGTGGCTATGGCTGAATGTGGGGAACCAGGCCCACTGCCACCATGGGACCCTCCATGGGCCCCACCGTGGTTGTCATGGTGATGGTCACCTCCCAAGGCTGACCCAAACAGCACAGGACAGATGTAGCCTTCCAGAACATCAAAAGGGGAACTGTGGGAGTGAGTGGCTGTCAGGAACACCTGAGGAGGGGTGGAAGGGGGACAGGGAGAGCGAGAGAGCCAGAGGAAGACGGAGGGAGAAAGCAAAGATGGGGAGGAGCAGAGAGGGGAGAGAAGGTCAGCCAGGTCAAGGCCAGAGGTAGCCCACACCCAGCCTTCTGGCCGCACACACTCCCACCCCTAGGAGGGCGACCAACTGTCCCAGGATGCAGGACATTTGGTGCTAAAACCAAGACAGTGCTGGGCCCACCAGGAGAGTTGGCTACTCTCTCCCCAGAAGTACTCCCTGGGCTCAGGGAGGAGCTGTCCTTGGCCTGGAGTCGCTCATCCCCTTTAGATGGCCCACGGTCCGGTCCCAGGGAGCCAGCAGCCATGCTCCCCAGCTCCACTGGGAGGAAGAATGCAGCCCCTCAAGACCCCTCCTGGAAGGTGGGGTGACTCCAACTCAAGGCCTGACGATCGGAACAGCACGAATGTCGGTCTAGCCCGTCCCCCATCCTGAGGGTACCTCCCCGCACCTTGTTCCTCTGCTCTCCATGCCCAGGGCACAGAGCCCCAGACAGACCCTGCACACCCCTGCCCGCACCTTGGCTTTCACCTAAGTTGGGCCTTTTGCAGGGAAGGACTTGTTCCCTCAACCCCATCCCCGCCGGTGGGACATTGCTCTTCCTACACCCTCCTCCATGCACGGACCCACTGGCAAGCTCCTACCCTCCATCCCTGCTCAGGGCTCGCCTTTCCCAGACACTGGAGGCTGCGAGTCCCGGCCCCCAGCCCAGGAGGTGTGGGTGGGCGTGGGTCAGGACAGGAAGCCTTACCTTACAGGACACCATGAACATGGTGAAGATAAAGATGAGACTGGCTTTGGAGACCGGGAGCCAGCGGGTCTGCTGGAGGGTGAAGAGTATGGCTCCGTACAGGCTGGCCTTGGTGGGGCTGGAGGGGACAGCCATGGTCACCAAGAAGCATGACAGGGCTCAGGCCTTGGTACCTCTGTCCCAGACCCCCTTCTCTGCCTGGCCCCAGCCAGCCCCAGCTCTGGCTTCTGAGTGTGAAATGGGAAGATGCCCACATGACATGGAGGAGGTGGAGTCTCTCTGTGCAGTAAAGGGTTAACTTGACCCAAAGAGGGATCTGGCCTTTGTCTCTGGATTCTGGAAGGTGTCCTCTAAGCCCTGGGAATGTCCTATGTGATAGGAACCTTTGCTTACTTGGGGACTTGGGGTCACACCAGACAGTAACAGTATGATTTAGGGGGGGGTCTTTGGCCAGGTCATCTCAGCTCAGCCGCTGGAGGAGCTGGAGGCTGAGGTCAGTGATGCAGAGGGTCAGCTATGTCTGTGTCACTGAGTGCCAGGAAAACCCTGGACACCAGAGCTCGGAGAATTGTGGTGGTTGGCCACATACAATGCATATATCACACACAGATGCTGGGAGACATGGCCACCTTCCACACAGCCACTGAGAGGGGACCGGGACGTCACGCCGGGTCTCCCCTGGATGCCGCCCACGTGCGTCTTCCCTTTGCTCATTTTAACCTGTGTTCTTTCCCCGTAACAAACTGTACCCCTGAGTAAAAGGGCTTTGCCGAGTTCTGTGAATCCTCCTAGCGAATCACCAAGCCACATGGTTTTTCTTAACTTTCCTGTTCTTCCTTACAGACTTGGTTTCTAAGATTTTAACTTTTTGCAAGAGACAGACCCGTGACTTCTGTTGCTGATATTTGCCACTCATTGCATGTACTTAAACACAGTAATTCTAACTGGCATTTCCAAAGGACTCACCAGGTACCAGGGCCGGGGGGTTATGTCTGTGAGTCCATGGAAGCCTCATCCTCTGCTGATGAGGCGGAAATGGAACCTGAGAGGGGAAGCCACTTGCCCGTTTAGTAGCAGGTGGTGCAACTGTCTGGGGCCCACTTCTCTGTCAGTGAATTGAGGGAGGGATGAAACGAGATAAAACTACTTTTTTCAAAGTGTAAACCAAGAGGTAATTTTCATTAGTCTGTGGGTACACCTTTTCACTTTGTCATATTTTAATGGCTACAGTTTTACTTGTCGTAGATTGGAAGGAAATTTAACCAGCCCAAATCTGCAAAGTGTTTTAAAAATGTTTTAGGCCAATGCAACGTGGGGTTCTGGTCTGGGCCCTGGATGCTGCAGGTTGGCCCTGCTCGCCAGCCTCCACTTTCGCTCCAGCCACGTTCCCCACCCGCACCCTGTGCCCCACGCTTCCCACCCACCTCTGTGCCTGCCCTGCAGAGCCAGGCAGAACTGTTGTTTTTTTCCTGACTTGACAGTTGGTAGAGGTGATGGCCTCTGTCCAGAGGCTCCTTCTTTGCCAGAAAACTCCTATTCACTCTTCAAAACCCAAATCAACTATCTGATCTTCCTGTATCTCTGCCTGCCCTTGCCCCCTAGGCAGAGTTTTAGTTTCCTCTCTGGGTTTCCCCAGACACGTCCTCTGGAAGTTTCTAGAAGGCAGAATCAAGAGCTGAGACCTCCAAGTCACCAGAAGTCTCCAACCCAGGGTCAGGCCCGGGGGCACAGGAGGAACAGATGAGGAGAACGTGGTACTCACAAGGACATGTGCAAGATCTCGTTGGTCTCTGGCTTCCAGACCCCTCGGAGCAGCTGCTCAAAGTTGGACATGAGAGCAACACCAGAGCCTACAAAACAGGGTGCTTGTGAACGAGCCCGGCCCCCTTGGCTTCCTTCTTGGCTGAATTCCCACGGAAGCAGGCTCTCTGCCCCTGGAATCCTCTCCAGAGGGACAATGAGCCCGGGGTGTATGACAATCAGATAGAGGTGAGGAAACATGCTCAGGGTGGGCAGAGTCTTGCTGAAGGTCACACAGCACATTTGGAGCAGAACAAGCACGAAGGAATCGAGCTACGATCCCCCCAGGAAAGGCTCGGACACTCTGGCTGTGTACTCCGATGCTCCCGCTCCAGGACCCCGGGCTGTGCATGAGGCTCGCAGGGTGCCCCCACTCACAGCCCCTCTCCCCTTAGGGCTCTGAGTTCTCACTTTCTGAAGCCACTTGCCCTCCGGGAGGCATGCTATACCCCTGGGCCATTAGTACGGGCTTCCTGGAGAGAGAATAAGGAGACCCACATGGAGACATAAGGGTTAAATTTCCAGGAAGTATCTTCCCATTTATCCCCCATGCACTCGCTCAGGAGGCTTGGATGCCCTCTCCCGGGGCAGCTGTGTAACTGGGGTTCCTGAACCACTGGTCTAGGGGCTCACAACTGAGGTGATTTTGCCTCCCAAGGAGGCGTTTGGTAACGTCTGGAGACATTTTTGGTTGTCACAGCCGGGGAGGGGCGTGTGCGGCTGGTGGGTGGAGGCCAGCGGTGCTGCTCAACGCCTGATCATTCGTAGGATGGCCACCACCCCAGAGGATGACCCAGCCCCAGATGCCACAGTGCCGCAGCGCAGAAACCCTGCTTGAGGCATCAGCTCTCATTTACCTTGGACGGTTACATTTCTGGAAGAATCTTCTCAGCTGCTCTAAGGCGTTGGCTAATGGGGAGCCTGGACTCCTGTGGCAGCCCTGACACCCCATGGCCCAGAGCAGTGGCTGTGCCCACCGGGGCGCTCAACGTGTGCCATTGAACAGGGGTTCTCAACTGGGTGACTTCCCATTGTCATCGCCATCGTCCCATTTACCTTTGACCCAGCCCGTGGCGATCATGACGAACCAGCCGTGGTGGTAGTGGTGATGCGCGTGGTGGATGCCCACAGCGATCTTGCGGACTCTCACCACCTCCTTCATGGCCACAAAGATGAGTTTCACAGGCAGGAAGCAGACACACTTGTAAAACAGGTCCATGGGGCAGAAGAAAATCAGGTACCTTTGGGGACAGAATGCTGAGCATCAAGGGGGAGACAGATTCTGGGGGCCCCTGGGAAGCGAGCTTGCACCCAGACCCCTCTTCTCCAGGTGCCTGGATCTGACAGCACTGGGCCACAGAGGGCGGTGCCTTCAGGGCCGCTGTGGAGGTCGTGCTGCTCGGTCCCAGCTCCTCCCACCTCCCGCCTGCCAGCTCTGCTCCCCACACCCTGCCAGCCTGGCGATGCTTACCAGACAGCAGAGGCCAGCAGGACGCTGGAGTTGTTGCTGAAGTAGTCGATCAGGGGCTCCCCGAGGAGCAGATCCGCCAGGATGTAACTGCCGAAGCAGTGCAGCATGGCACACAGCCAGGACGCCACGGGGTGGCGCCGGGACAGCTCCACTGCTCCTGGGTGGGGCGGGGGAGGGCGCGGAGGAAGCGTGAAGTATTTGTCTTTTTGTGACTGGCTTATTTCATTTAGCATAACATTCTCAAGGTTTACCCATGTTGTGGCATGTGGCAGAATTCCCTTCCTTTTTAAGGCTGAATAATATTCCAGACAGACACAGCAAAGGTGTATGAGTTGAACCGTGGTGTTCAAAAAGATATGTTGATGTCCTAACCCCTGGTGCCTGTGACTGTGACCTCTAATGGAAATAGGGCCTTTGCAGATGCAATTAAGTTAAGACGACCTCATTAGGGTGGGCTCTAATCCAATGCCTCCTGTCATTATAGAGAGCGAAGCTGAGCAAAGGCCCCGTGAACATGGAGCAGAGACAGCATGCAGCAGCTATAAGCTGCAAAACAGCAAGGATGCTAGGCACCTCCAGAAACTAGGAAGAGGCCTGGGAAGATCCCTCTCTGGAAACGCTGGTGAGAGCACGGCCCCACTGGCACCTTGATCTTGGACTTCTGGCCTCTAGAACTGTGAGACGATACATTTGTTTTTTTTAAGCCACCCAACTGGTGGTACTTTGTTACATGAACCTCAAGAAATTCATACAGAAGGCCACGCGAAGATGGAGGCAGAGATCGGAGCGATGCGTCTGCAAGCCAAGGAGCGCCAAGGATTGCTAGCAACACCTGCAGTCAGAGGAGAAAGGCTTGGAAGGACTCTCCCCTACAGCCTCCAGGAGCAAGCAACTGGCTGACACCCTGACTTTCGATTTCTGGCCTCCAGGACTGTAAGGGAATAAATTCCTGTTTGACCACAGGTAACTGACACTACAGAAGAGAAAAACCGCAAACGGGGGGCGAGGAGGGCCTGCTGCCGCTCCACATACGTGTGCCGCGGTGAAGGTTTAAACACAGGGACGGGAACAACATAGGCCGATCTTAGGGTGGTGGTCACACCGAGAGGGAGGGGTTGGCAGTGTCTGTCACTGTATTACTGATAAAAAAAAACAAACCCACCAAACCCAGATCTGAAGTAAATCTGTGTTCACATTGGTTAAGTCTGAGTGGAGGAGACAGAGGTGACTGTGATATTCTGTGTGTTTGAAAAATCTAGTCATCAAAACCAGAAGCAAAAAGAGGCCCCCACCGAATGCTGGGAAGGACATGGGTCGCCCACCTGCTTCACCACAGTAGGTCCCACCGTCTGTACTGAGCCCCTCGTGAAGTCCTTACCGCTCCCCCCTCTGAAGGTCGTGGACAGGGGTCCAGGAACAGGAGGTCTCACCACCTTGGGCAGGCTGTGGGGTGTTCCATGCTGTTCTATCCACAAGAACCCAACAATCAGTTCCAGGAGACTCTTAAAAGTCCGTGGTCATAGCAGCACTATTCACCATCACGAAAGGCAGAAACAACTCCAGTGCCCATCGAATGATAAATAGATACGAAATGGGACACACCTGTACAACAGAACATTATTCAGCCTTAAAAAGGAATGGAAACCTTAGCGGGGTGCTCACTCTGTAAGGAATATACACATCTAATCACTATATTGTATACCTGAAATTAATATAATATTATATGGCAACTGTAACTGGAAAATAAATTAATTTTTAAAAAAGGAATGAAATCTTGATAGACACTACAACATGGATGAATCTTGAAAACATGCTAACTGAAAGAAGCCAGACACAAAAGGCCATATATTATATGATTCTATTTATATAAAATATCCAGAACAGGCAAATCCACAGAGACAGCAATGGGGAGTGGCTACTAATGGCGATAGGTCTCCTTCTGGTGTGATGAAAATGTCCTAGAACTTACATATTACATGCAGGTGGAATTATATGACATGGCCTTTTGCATTTGTCTCTTACACTGAGCATAATATTTTTAAGAGTAATATTCATTTTTACTGTTGTATTCCATCATAGAAATAGGTCACAGGTGATTGACCCATTCTCTTGCTATATAGTTTATAAAAGCATGCCTAATAAAAGCTGTTTTAGAGGAAGACATCACACTCCCCTCTCTCTTTGCCATCCCTACCAACTATGTGCTCTTGGACAAACTGTTTTTTCTCTCTGCATCCCTTTCCTTCTGTCAGATGCAAACCTTTAATCCCTTCTTTGCCCAGCTCCTAACAACGGCTGGAACTGAATTTCCACCCCCTCAGCCTCCCTGTGGAGTTACAAGCACCATGGGCGTCTGCTCCCTGCCCTCGCGTTGCCCTAGAGCCGCAGCATTTACCAAGGGCCTATGGGGCTGAAGGAAGCAGCACAGGGCTCTCTTCTCAGAGTGCTGCCAGCTGAGCGCTAATCCTTCAGAGCAGCTGGTGGGTTCTGCAGGGGCCGGGTCAGGTGAGGAGCCCATGTTTTGCAGAAATGGATCCCTCTGCATTTAAAAATAACCCCCAGGGGTTGAATTCTTTCCAGGCTCTTTCTTGTGCCCTCTGGGGCTATCCCAGGGACTGAGGCTGGGGAGAGGCGGGTGGGAGCCTGGGTTTTGCAGGACTAAAGCGGGCTCTGTGTTTGCACCAGGGGTGAGTCCTAATTTTTTAGAAAGTCACATGCCTGGGTTTTTGGCTCTTCTGCCCACTTGGGCGTGGCCCTGGGCAAATGACTGCTCCCTTCCCTACCTCAGTTTCCTCTGCTGATAAAAGAGAATGAGAGGACCCCTTGACCAGTGGTATTAACGACCCAAGGCAGTGTGCATTACAGTCCTCACGCTCCTCCTCCTCCTCAGTGCCCTCCTGGCAATCCTGGGATGACAGGAGTCTCCCCGCTGCCACCGACTGGAGGACTGAGGCTTTTGGAGACGACCTGCCCTGAGGACCCACAGAGGGGCGGTGGCTGAGACACGGTCCCCCCCCGCCCCCCGTCTCCTTCCCTTTGCCACACTTGTTGGTTTGGGGGCAGCACCCGGAAGCAACTGAATATGGGTTTCAAGCCCCCGTTTGTCCCTTAAATTCTTCCCTCTCCTGGCTTCATTCTGCTTCTGTGTATAATAGGGCTGCTGTCTAGAGTGACGACTGTCTGGGGTCTGGGGGTTCCTGGGACATGGGACTTTGGGTTCGTGTCTTGGACAAATCCTGGGTGCCTCCCCATTGCGCCTGTGAGGAGGAAAAGAAAGAGCTCAGTGCCTACCAATTATGAGGGAGTTATTCCTGGAAGTGAACTGAAATGGAAAGTACCTGTGGGTACAAATTCTAGTGGATGAATTTATAAAAACCAGCTCAGCCCAGGAGGGAGGAGAAAGCCCGATCAGGCCCTGACTTCTAGCCTTGGTGGGCGCCATGGCATTCCCTCTCCAGGGGGCAGCAAGCTGTCTGTGCATGGCAGGGCAGTGCTAGAAGGTTCCCTCGGGGCATTTTCAGCACCACCCTCTTAGGTGCCATTTCATCTGAGGACCACACGTGAGGTAAACTGACAGTCTCTCAGGACTCTAGATACTCTTCCCGAGTCTTCGAGCACAGCTTTCTGCCTCAATTTCCTTCCCTGGAGCAGGAGTCGGTGGTCCCTGCCTTGACGGGCTGTAAGATGAGCTGCATCCCCATCCTCAGAAAAGCTTACATGTCAAACCAGAGATCAAGCAATTACTCTCTTAGTCCACACAGAATTTTTAAAATGTTCAAACTGCAACGAAGATGTCCTTTGATAGGTTAATAATTAAGCTGTGGTACAGCTATACCATGGAATATTATTTAACACTAAAAAGAAATGAGCTATCAAGCCACAAAGACATGGAGGAAACTTAAATGCATATTACTAAGTGAAAGAAGCCAGTCTGAAAAGGATACAGGCTGTATGAGTCCAACTCTATGACACTCCAGAAAAGGCAGAACGATGGAGACAGTAAAGAGACCTGGGGTTGGCGGGGGTTCAGGGTGCGGGGTAAGGGAGCGTGATGAAGAGGTGGCGCACAGGATTTTTAGGGCAGTAAAACTATTCTGTATGACACCATCATGGTGAATACATTTCCCAAAATTCATAAATGTACACCCCCAAAGAGTCCTAATGTAAACTGTAGACTGGTTGGTAATAATGTTGGCAATCTAGGATAACGGTTACATGAGATATTGATACCAAGGTTGGTTCACTGACTGTAACAAATGGACCACTCTGGTGGAGAATGTTGATGCGGGGGTGGCTACGCGTGTGCGCCAGTGGCGGTCAGTGAGTATACGGAAACTGTAGTTCCAGCTTAATTTTGATCTGGATCTAAAATGGTTCTAAAAAAAATAAAGTTTATTAAGTTAAAAAAAGAGAAGAACAAAGTGTTCTAACAGCCAAATCACAGTTCCAGCTTCCCTTGAAAAACCAGTTCCGGTGGTTCCAGCCCCAACCAGGTGCAGATGAGCCTGCCTGGATCTCACCTGGGCACGGCCCCCGCCTGGCTGGTTTACTGCTTCCCGTATATCCCCTGACCGGTCCTTGGAAGCGCCTTCAGGTGTGTCCAACCCGAGGCGGCCCAGCATGGCTGTGAATGCGGCTTAACACAAAATCGTAAATTTACTGAAAACCTTTTTTTTGCTCATCGGTTTTCCTTAGTGTTTGTGTATTTAACGTGTCGGCCAAGACAACTCTTCTCCTTCCAGCGAGGCCCAGAGACACAGGGTGTTCAGGATGGACACCCTGAAGATCAATGGTTCTCAACTTGTAGTAGAAATCTGGGACAGTGGCAATGTATGGGGACATTTTTTGTTGTCACAATGGACTGTGATACCAGCACCCAGTGGGTGGAGACCAAGAATGCTGAGAATCATCCTGAAATACACAGGATTGCCCCACTGCAGGGAAAAACCTGGCCCTAACCATCGCTGGTGCCAAAGCTGGGAATTCCTGGGCCAGAGAGCCAGGCCTCATCTGGGGAATTTTAAAACACCTGAAGCTAATACAATATTGCATTGGGTTGGCCAAAAAGTTCATTTAGGTTTTTTCCCTGTACAATGGTTCTAGTAGTGCTTAGTTGTCTTTAACTTCATTCAAAACAATTGTGTTAGATTGTGTACTGTGACAGTTGTCATATCAGCATGCATGTTAAAAAAACCATCAAAATTGGTGAATTTTTATGCAGCCATTTTAATACTGAAGATGGAAGAAAATATGCAACATTTTCAGCATATTATATTTTATTATTTCTAGGAAGGTAAAAATACAACTGAAACACATAAAGATTTGTGCAGTGCATGGAGGAGGTGCTGTGACTGATCAAACATGCCAAAAGTGTTAAAAGTGGTTAGATAAGTTTCTTGGTACTCGATATTTTGGCCAAATAATTCTTTGCTGTGGGGCTGTCTTATGCACTGGAAGATGTTTAGCGGCACTTCTGGCCTCTACCCACTAGAAGCCAATAACAGGAGATAGCTGACGTACTCAAAATATCCAAACCAATGAAGTTACTGGAGAAAATTAAAAATGTGTCTTTTATTTTATGGAAAGATCAAATGGACTTTTTAGCCAAACCAATATATCAACTATAATTGAAAAATACATTTCAGGAAATGTTTAAGTAGTGTGATAAGATAAAAGCATTTTAGACCTGACTGGTGTGGCTCAGCAGATTGAGTGTTGGCCTGTAAACTGAAGGGTCACAGGTTCGATTCCCAGTCAGGGCACATGCCTGGTCTGCGAGCCAGGTCCCCAGTTGGGGGCATGAGAGAGGTAACTGATGAATGTACCTCTCCCACATTGATGTTTCTCTCCCTCTCTTTCTCTCTCCCCTACCCTCTCTCTAAAAATAAATCAAATCTTTTTTTAAAAAGATTAAAAAAAGCATTTTATAAAACATTTTATTGGCAAAAGCGTAAGAGTAGACATATTTCAATTTCCCCAGTCCAAAAAAATAAAACACTGATGCTAGTGCTACCCCCAGCAGTTCTGATTTAAATGATAGAGAGGTCTGCTGGGACAAGGGGAGTTTTAAAAGCCCCCCAGGTGGGTCTAATTTGAGGACCAGTGGTCTGAGAAGTTCTTTGGACATGTCAGGCTTAAGGTAACCAGGATTGTAATTCATTCATTCCTTCAATCATGCGGCCAAGCACCCACTGCTTCCTCCTGACCTCTTGCATAGAGTCGGTGGTCCTGGAAGTGAACCAGGCCCAACCCCCCAGCCTCATGAATCAGCTCCTGGTTTAACAAGGAGCCCCAGCCTCTTACAGTTCATTGCTTCTCAAATGTTAAGGTGTTGATGGGGATCTTACTCAAATGCAGGTCTGGGTGGGCGTGGGCCTGGCATTCTGCATTTCTTAACCAGCTCTCAGGGAACACAGGTGCTGTTCACTTTGAGGACCACACTCCAAGCTTTTTCCTCATTATCAGGAAAGCCTGCCCCAGAAAATGCCTGCATCCCAGGAAACACAATCCCTCTCTGCCTTAAAAATAATTGTAAGTACCCCTCCCAAGTGCCTTAGACCCTACCAGTTCTCAGTGGATCTCAACAGATCTCCACAACAGCTAGGAAAGGGAATCCATGGTTATTTAACCTATGGGCCCATTTCACAGATGAGCAAACTGAAGCTTGTGGAGACCCAGTAACTAGCCTGTGCAAGAGGCAGAATCACTCCCAACTTGGAGATTTTTCCTTAAAGGCAGCTTGGCTCTTGCCTTTGAGAGCGCTACTTGCGCAGTGGCCCAGGAGCCCATGCTCAGAGGGCCCACATTCAGTTTGCTGTTCTGCTGTCACTGTCTGGAAATTCTTAATTTCTGAAAAAGGGACTCTGCAAATTCTGAAGCTGCTCCTGCAGACAGCACATGAATTCTGAGAAGAAACCTTTACAGAGGCTCAGCAGGACCGTCAAACTGGGAGGTTAACAGCTAAGTCCAACACCTCCCTTTTCTAAGGGATAAGCAAGTACCCCTGAGTAATCCTAGCATTTCTTGGGGTCAGGCAGGCCTGGGTTGGAATCCCAAGGCCAGCATCTACCAACCACAGGACCAGAGGTCCTTTGCTTATGCAAATTAGCTTAGCCTCTGTTTCCTAATTTCCCCAGTTACGAAAGGAGGGGGTTGAACTGGGCAGGGGGTTCTCAACCTTGACAGCAGACAGCAATCACTGGGGGAGGGGAACTTCAAACTCAAGGATACCAGAGCCCCCGCCCCAGATATTCTGAATCAATTGGAGGGTTTAAGAGCCCCTAGGAGGCTCTAAAGGGCAGCTAGGGGTGAGAACCGTTGAACTCTCTCAACGTTCAGGAACCGTCAGGCTCCTGTGCTTCCATTTCAGAGAGAGGACTTGCTCTGTGACTCAGTCGGAATGTCCTGACCCTTCCTGCACGCTCCAAGCCAGCCGGGAGACCCCTTTCTTCCAGACACAGTGTCCTACGCGCCGAGGAATCGCCTGCTCCGCAGTGTGAGATCTCCCAAGGTGTGCTGGGCTCTGTACTGGTCTTGGGACTGGTCTCAGCCACCAGGCAGCAAATACAGTCCCTGTATTCATCTTACAACAATACAAAGCTTATTTTGCTTTGCAAAGTAACTGCTCTACAGAAAAGCTTTTTAAAAAATAGGCTCTGGCTTGTGGACTGGCAAAAATAAAACGGAACAAAACACTTGGCAAGCAGCGTGTGATCCAATTTGCATACATTCATAACTCTGGGGGTATAAATGCAGAGAAGCGAAGTCTGACAGCGTGGCCACCACATCAACTGTAATCCTCTTTTTTCCTTTGTGCTTTTCAGCTTGACTTTAAAATATACAGGAGCACCTATTTTTATCATTTAATAAAGCTATTTTCACTATGAGAAGAGAACATAGGGGTGATTTACCTCTAAGTGGGAGAAACGGTCACAAAGTTTTGGGTGATTGATCTTTTCCCTTAAGGTAAGTTCTACTGCCCATTTCAGTTTGCTGGTGTACCGGGATAATTAGAATACTAGGAATGTGAGGAATATTCGGTGAACCTTATATAAAAATAGAACACATTCTGTGGAGGCCATTTACCCTCATTTTAAAAATGTGTGTGTTTAAATCCTAGAAGCTGGGTCTTCTCCTCTGCGATTCTCCATGGGGGTCTGGAGCGGGTGGGAGAAGGCTGACCCCAAATTACCCGGCCCCAGGCCGGTTCTGCTCAGTAAGTGGAAAGGATGGGGGCCGGCGCTGGAGGAATTCCGGCAGGGAGCGGAGATCCAGCACAGCCTCGCGGAGGGGACGGGAGGGGGAGGCAGCCCCTTAGCTGCAGCGGGGAGGGGGCACTGGTGTCACTTTCTCTGAACCTGACCCCAGCACAACCGGCCCTTATATAGACACTCAGCTGCCGCTCCTGCTCCCTAGCCAAGGGCAGGGAGGGAGGTCACTGCTGCGGGCGGCCAAGACATCTGGCCGAGACGGCGGCGCCCACCCCTGCCTGCATCCTCACCAGGACCTAGCAGCCCCCTGCCGAACTTCATGCGACCCTCCACTGCTAGGACCCCTGACCTTCTCTCCCTGCCCCCTCCCCAACACCTGTTCCCTCTCCTATAAACTATCACGTTCCTCTCCTTCCCTTCAGCCCCCGTCTGTTTCCCCCTCCCCAGCCCTAACATCTCGGGGGGCTTCTTCACTCCTTGCCCTCCCTCACGTTTCTCTCTCCTGCCCACCCCGGGATGGAAGAACCCCACGATCCCGTCACCAGTCTGTCTGCTCCCTCGAATCCGTCCCGGGGGCTGTGTCCCCAACGATCCAGGGCTTCCCGCTCCTCGCCCACCCGCCCCGCGATGCCAGCCCCTTCCAAACCCCCGCTCTGGCTCACCTGGCTCATACTTGAGGTAGAGGATGGAGACTATGAAGTAGCTTAGGTCGAAGACGGGAAACAGCGGCACCCGAGAGAAGCTGAGCGCCAGCTCTCCCAGGCTCAGTGCGGACAGCAGCTCCATGGCGCGCGCCGGGTCCCACCCCAGCCCCCAGCCCGGTGCGTCCCGCCGCCCGCGGCCCCGCGACTGCGCCCCCGCCGCTCGGCCCGCCCCCACCCGCCAGGCACCGCCCCCAACTCGGCCCTGAGAGGGAGGAGGGGCGACAGCTGTCGCGAGGCCGTCGTGTCCCAAGGATCCTGGCCAGTCAGGTGTTCCCTACTTTGTCCCTCCCCTGAGCCATCACGACCCCATTCAGCCCTGAGAGGCGGGGTGCTGACCCCTGTGGAGTGGGTTGGGCCGGTGAGCTGTCCTTTTGGGGAGAGGGAGTCCCTCACGCACGGAGCCCACCCAGGTGGGACGGATCAGTCAGGACCGCATCCAGATGGGGCTCGATGAGGACCCATGTCATCTGCGGAGCCCTCGGATCGGGATCTCCATCCCCCGTGGGGCCTGATCAGTGGAGAACTCCATCCTCCCGTGCCCTGAATGGGGTCTCTTCACTCAGGACCTCGTTCTCTATGCAGCTGTCATTATCCCAGTCTTCCGTGTGGCTCAGTAAGTCATGACCTCTGTCCCCCACGGGGACCTCCGTCCTCTAAAGAGACCACCCGGTAGGTATGCCCCCCACCGGTAGTGGGGATCCCCGCCTCTCAAGAGGCCCAGGAGGACCCTCCCCAATCAGTCGGGGCGTCCATGCCCGGGAGAACCCACTGCATCAAGACCCATTCCCCTGTGCAGCTCAGTAGTGAGGGGTCCCGTTTCTTTCGAAGCCCCAGCTGAGGCTCCAGAAGGAAAATTCGCAGCACTACTTCAATAGCGGGCCGGTGGCTCACGCCAGTGCGGCAAGCCTCTAATGAGTGACCTAATCCCGCCTCCAGATGGTCCCGCCCATAGATGACGTCCACACGCTCGCCCAGTCCTACTCCACTACGCTCTAAGCCTCTCCAGCGAATATGGGTGCTTCTTTTTCCCTAAGAGGGCCGGGTCTTCAAAGGACTGGACCCCGCCTGCCTTGGCCTCCCACTGGCTCAGTCCTCACCAGCACTGCTTTGCGATTGGTCGACTCGTGTCCACCTCCCCTCTCTCCTCGGGACTTCCGCTTCCGGCTCTAGTGGACGTTTCGGCTGTAACGATGATCGGAGACATCCTGCTCTTCGGGTAATTAAGGGGACCAGAGATTGAACAATAGAGCCCGACGGGGTTGGGGGCAGCCTAGGTAACCGCATTCTCCCTCCGCAGGACGCTACTGATGAACGCCGGAGCGGTGCTTAATTTTAAGCTGTGAGTAGGCCGCGGAGGGCCGCAGCCCCACCCGGGGACCCGTAGCCCCGCCTCCGGGAGCGTGAGCCAGCTCACGTCACAGGCTGTGCTCCCAAGTCCCACTCCGCCCTCTGGCCCAGCTTGCAACCTGGTCCCTACTCCATCGCGACTTGACATCCTGACTCTCCGTTCCCCGGGGATCCCTCTTTTCGCACCCCTAAGAGCCTCAGGCCCATTCCCTAAAAATTCATCCCTAACCTGTACCCAGGGACTAGCTTCTTCACCTTGTTGCTGTCAGTAATTGGTGGGGCAGATGGGCGCCCAGAGGGTCATCGAACCTCCGGAAGTCACAGAGCAAGTCAGCGGTAGGGCTGTCTGCTGCCCTTTGAGGCCAGGGGGCTGGGCGGTCCTTGTGTTCCATCGAAAGTGGACACTGCTTCTCTTTGTAGGAAAAAGAAGGACACACAAGGCTTTGGGGACGAATCCAGGGAGCCTGGCACAGGTAAAGCCTCCTTTCTGGATTCCGGAATTGGTCCATTTCAGAGGACAGTTCTTTCTCAAGTCCTATCCGTTTTCTTTTTAATGTGTGTGTCTGTGTGTTGGGGGGGGGAGAGGCATGAGGACGTGATGTTCCTTCTTCCCACCTATGTCATCCACTTTCTCCTTCTAGAACTTGGTACATAGATCAGCACTCATATCACTTTCCTACATTTATAATTTTTCTTTAAGTATCCTGTCATCTGGCTAATGTCTCCCCCTCATACTTCACCTTTTACTTCACTCCAGAGAAGAGGCTTCAGCTTGTTTTGGCTCATTCCTGCTGTGTGATTGCTTGCTTAGTATTTGTCTCCCCTGAGAGCTCTGTCCTCCCTGTGTCCCCCACACTTAACTCTTGCCTGGAATGAACAGGTGGCCTCCATCGGCATCTGTTAATGGCAGGAGAGCACGATTACATGATCCTCGGCTTAGGGAAGGGCCTTGCCAAGCAGTGCCTCTCAAACATCCTGGGGACAGACCCGTCTCTGGCATTTGAAGTCCATGCTGGCCCAATGCTTAGGTTGTGCCGCATACAGCTTACCCCATGGGGTGGATAATACTGTACTCGTGTAAAGCATATTCAGCAAGACCGTGTGCTGATCAAACACTAGGATGGTGCAGCAGTACCACGTGGCTGTCATGTTGGGGTTGCTGTGATAATTTCTGAGCCCTTGCCCGGTATTTTGTACTTACTGGACAGCTGTGGTCTCTAGATGACACTTTGGGTAGCATCCTTGTAGGTCACCTAACTTGGACCAGTTCATTTCATTCCGGAGGCCTGGGCAGGACATGTGTGCAGATCGACTCAAAATCTCAGAGGAAGGTTCTGAAATACAGGTCTCTGGAGTCTTAATGTACCAAATTGCCTCCTCTTTGAGTGGTTTCTGTTCCTTCCCAGCAGAGGAGACTAGAGTAAGTTGTCACCAAAGCGGAACTCCTCCTTTACTTGCCCAAATTAGTATGCTTCTAGTTGCAAATACTTAAATCCCAGTTCAAAGTGGTTAAAGCAAATTGAAACATCCAAAGGTAGCATTGTCTTCAGGCACGCCTGGATTCAAGGTTCAAAGCAGCCTTCCAGCACGTGACTGTCTCCAGGTCTCTTTTACTTTTGGTTGGTTTTACTGTCAGGCTGGCTTGTGTTAGCAAAGACAACGCTAGAGCAGGGCTGAGTGCATTTTTGTGTAAAGGGCCAGATTAGAAATGTTTTTGGCTTTGCAGGCTGTGCTGTCTCTGGTGCAGCAATTCAACTCTACTTTTTTAACTAGAAAGCAGCCCTGGACAATATGTAAATGAAGGTCATGGATGTGTTCCAAAAAAACTTTATTTGTGGATACTGAAATGTGAATTTCATTTAAGTTTTGTATCTCACTGAATACTCCGTTGATTTTTTTTTTTTTAACCATTAAGAAGTAGGAAAAACATTCTTAGCTCCCAGGCCACACAGAAACAGGTGGCAGGGGCCAGTGTTGGTTCCTGAGCTGTAGTTTGCCAACCCCTGCCCTGGAGGACTCTGCTCATATCTTTCCAGCCCAGCCCAGGAAGTCTGGCAGGAAATAGTTGGGGCAAAAGTCTCAGGGCTGACTTTCATTGGGCATACTTGGATCATGTACTCTCCCTGAGCCAATCAGAGGCTTGGATCCTGGTGCTTTCCCTGGATTGGTCAGTGGCAGCCACATCCTGAGTGCTGAGGGTTGGGGAGCAGAAAAGACCCAAAGGAAAGGCAGAGCTGGCCCTGGAAACATGGGAGCAGTAGGTGTGGGGTGGAGAGACCACAGAAACACCTGCAACTGTGACAGCAGTAATGTTAGCAGTGCTTGTAAACATGCTTTCTGACTTTCCAGGTGACAACATCCGGGAGTTCTTACTGAGCCTCAGGTACTTCCGAATCTTCATCGCCCTGTGGAATGTTTTCATGATGTTCTGCATGATCGTGTAAGTCAGGCCTGCCCACCTCCTTTATTGTCATTCTGCATCCTCCAGAATGACCCACCTCATGACCATTCTCTGTCTTCTGAGTCTGCACTTTGGTGTACCTTCTGCCCTCAAAATAAGAACTCTGCATGCTAGAGAGGAGACAGGTTTATAGGGTTTAAGCTATGCCACTGCAGTCCAGGCTGAAGCTTAGTTTGGAGCATGGTGTTCTCCAAGTCCTGGCTTTGTGGTATGTCTCCACGAGCTGCCAAGAGATGCCTTCCTCGAGCCTGTGGTCTGGTCACCTGAAGCTAGTTCTGCTGTGCTTAGTGTATACTTGGCGGAAGTCAAGGTGAAAAATGGTTGGATGGCCATTGTGCTGCTGGGTCCTGCTCCTGCCTTGCTGGAATCCAGAAGTGTATTCAGACTTTTTATGCTCTTTAAAACAATATTTTTCTGTTTGTTTTTATGCCCTTTTTTATTTTCTTACCTAGTCTAAAAAAATTCAGCCGAGTTGGTTTTCCTTCCACCCTCAGGCCATACTTCTAATACTGCTGTTAATAAATTGTGAACTCAAAGTAAACAGATTCAGGATTAAAACAGTAGAAGAATCTGGAGCTCTGGGCCATGCTGGGCCCATTTTGTGTGCTTCTTCCAAAGAGGAAGAGAATGAGAAGCTGAGATGCTAAATTTGGAGTTGCTGGGTGGTCTTTGTGGCAGCTGGCTGTTTGAGGAGCTGGTCCCAGGACTTAGGAGATTGGAGGATGAGAGAGGTTAGCCGTGCCGCTGGGAAGTGTTGCAGAGCCCAGAATCAGGACTGTGACGGATGCCCAGAGACGCCCCTTTTGGGAGCGCTGATAAGGCTGCCAAGAGGACTGGTGAAGAGAACAAGGAATTTGCAGACGAGTTCAGGAAGTATAACTAGGACTCAGGGGAAGCAGAACATTGTAGGGGCCTCCTCTGTCCTTTGTCCCTATCCATTCATTCATTTATTCATTCACAACTGTCTGCTGTGGGCTGGGCTCTGGGGTCATAGCTGAGATCAAGACAGCAACAGTCCCTGCCTTGCGTGAACACATAGTATAACAGGTGAAACAGAAAGAGAAAACAAATAGGAGTAAGTCACTTGTGTGGTGGCAAAAGCAAGGGAGTCTCCCAGTTTAGAAGGCAGTTAGGAAGAGGCTCTTTGATAACATGCCATTTAAGTCAAGAATGACAGGAAGCCTAATTTACAGAGCTGGGGGGAAGCAAGGTAGTACCAGAAGCAGCATGTGTGCATAGTCCTTGGGGCAAGGAAGAACTTGGTTTTTATTCTGGGTTTGTTTTTGTTTTTGTTTTTTTTCTGTCCATTGGCTTTATTGTCCTTTCTTCCTTCACTGCTCATCTCCTGGCCTGTGACCAGGGTGGTAGCCTCAGGCTCTCTGATCCCCCAACTCAGCCCAAGGGAAGCTTAATCAGTAGCCCAGTGCGCTGATGTCATTTCCTAGGAGCAAAATCTCATTGACCTCGCTAGGTGCTACCCAGTCCTAGTTGGATTGGAGGCTCCTGAGTCCAGCCTAACCACTGAGGTCAGGGCTCAGCAAACTGCAGTCCATGGGCCATAGCTAGTCCCTGACTGTTGTCATGAATGAAGTTTTACTGTCACACAGCACGCCCACATCTGTGACTGCCTCCGCGCTATAGCGGTTGGGACATTGCAACAGAGACTGCCTTGGCCCACAAAGCCTGAACTACTTACTGTGTGGCCTTTTACAGAGTGTGCTGACCCCTGACCTAGGCCAGCTCTTCCTGCAGGGGTTATGATTGAGGGAAGATTTTTTTCTGGAAAAGTCAGGCAGTGACTGGCTTTTCCAGGATATTAAAACACTGGCAATCACATACATGTCCAAGAACAGGGGAAGAATCGAGTAACTTTAAGAACATCCATATGACCAACTGTCAGAAGGCCGTTAGTGATGATGTACCAGAAGGTTATGTCTACATTGGGAAATGTTTTGAGAATAAAGAAGGCCAATGTTACCTGTACGCATTCTCTGGCTTTGGTTGTGGCCAGCACACAGTAAACATTGAGTAAATACTGATTGGGTGCTGAAGTCTGTGATGGAAACACTTCCAGCGAGGGATTTGGGCAGATCTATTCCAAACCGTCCATGGAGGTGACTGTAGCAGGGCCGGAGTGATGGTTTGCTATTCCCCGCACCCATTTCTGTATTGTTTGAGTTGGGCTACTTTGGAAATTTTTAAGTCATGAAAAACTTTAACATGGAGAAACGTGCCTGAATGTTTAGGGCTGGAGAATACTGATATCTGCAACCTAACTTTCTTTCTTTTCTTTTCTTTTTTTAAAAAATTTATTTTATTTATTTATTTTTAGAGAGGGAGAGAAACATCAATGTATGTCTACCTCTCGTGTGCCCCCTACTGGGGGTCTGGCCTGCAACCCAGGCATGTGCCCTGGCTGGGAGTCCCACTGGCGACACTTTGGTTCGCAGGCCGGCACTCAGTCCACTGAGCCACACCAGCCAGGGCTGCAACCTAACTTTCAAAGACATCAAAAATAAGGTAGTCAGGTAAATAATTAAATGCCCAGTAAAGCGAAGTGTTAACTGCAGAATGTTGGTGGTGCGTATGTGGGTGTTCACTGAACTGTTCTTTTAATTCTTCTATTTGTTGAAATCTTCATAACAAAATATTGGAAGGAAGATAGGAGATAATGAGGGTGGCAAACCACAGAGAAGGATAAATAAGGAAAAAATGGAAGTTGGTTTTCACAGTTCAAGATTTTATAATGTATTCACGGGGTTGTGCAACCATCCGCACGATCTAATTCTAGAATATGTTCACCCTCAAAGGGAAACCTCACACCCACTAAGCAGTCACTCCCACTCCCCCTCCCCAGCCTGTGGTTGCCACTGATGTACTTTATGTCTGTTCTGGGTGTTTCATACACATGGTATAGCCTTTTGTGCCTGGCTTCTTTCAGCGGCATAATGTCTTCTAGTTTCTTCAATCATTTGTGGTATGAATCAGGATTTCATTTCTTTCTATGGCTGAATAACAGTCCATTGTATGGGTAAGCCACAGTTTGTTCACCCACTCATTAGTTGATGAGTATTTGGGATGCTTCCTTTTTTTGGCTATTATGAATAATGCTGATAGGAACATTTGTGTTCAAGTTTTTGTGCAGATTTAAGTTTTTAGCTCTCTCTGGTATACACCCAGGAGTGAAATTGCTGGGTCATATGGTAACTCTGTATTTATTCTCTTGAGTAAACTCCAGACTATTTTACAAAGTAGCTGCAGCAATATACATTCCCACCAGCGGGGTGTGTGTTTGCGGGGGAGGGAATGTTCCAGTTTCCCCACATCCTTGTCAAGACTTGTTATGGTCAGTCTTTTTTGGATATGAAGCTTGATTTGCATTTTCCTAACATGGAGCATTTTTTCATGTGCCTATTGGCCATCTGTACATCTTTGGAGAAATGTCTGTTCAGATCCTTTGCCCCCTTTTTTCCCCGAGCACCTCCATTTTCCCAAGGATTTATTCGGGCAGACCAGGGGACAGGGAGGCCTTGCATCTAAAAAGAAGGTGTTGGTCCTCTTGGTGGTGAAGCGTGGCCTTGTGCTGGCGAGGAAAAGACCCAGTGGGGCAGGGGAACTTGATCTTCAAGTTGGGAAACTGATTGATTGCTGGTCGGCAGCACTCTCTGGCTGCGATCTCCGCCTTCGTGATCTGGCTTGAGTGGTTGAGGGCGTGGTGCGGGGCAGCCGTGTCTCAGTAGCAGGGGTGACAGCACCAGTGGTCCCGGTACATGGCATGGGTGCTGCTGCTGGAGTTGTAGTGCAGCCAGATCCAAAGTTCCTCACCCGAAGGGAGGAGTTTTCGAACACCTGCCCGCAGTAGACAATTTCCCTTGAAGATTTCTTCTTCAGTCAAGACACAGAGTACCAGAAATGGGACTTGTAGGTGCAAAGACGCCTATGCGGTAGAGGGGTGGTATGTGGCTCGCGGGGCGGGGGCAGGCAGCAGCGCCCTGCCACCTTGTACTCTCGCAGGGTGCCCGCAGCCTTCATAGTGTTCTCTCTGCGTTCACAGCCATCCACGAAAGTCCTTGCCCATTTTTTAAATTGGGTTGTTAATGACTTGCTGTTATACTCTGGATACCAGTCCCTTTTCAGATACATGATTTGCAAGGATTTTCTCCTATTCTATGGGTTGTCTTTTCACTTTCTTGATAGTGTCTTTTGAAGCACAGAAGTTTTTAATTTTGATGAAGTCCAGTCTATTTTTTTCTTTTGTCACTTAGAATTTTATAGTTTTAATTTTAGTAATCAGGTCTATGGCCCATTTTAAGTTAACTTTTATATATGGTAGGAGGTAGAGATCCAAGTTCATTCTTTGGCATGTGGTGATCCAATTGTTCCTTCACTTTTTTTTTTTTAAATAGGCTTTTTATTTTGGAAGGAATTTGGATTTACAGAAATGTTTCAAAGATAATAGATTTCCCATATATGTCTTTTTAACAGCTCTGTGGTTTCTCCAGTAGCCCTATGTCATAACCTACATACCCACTCCCAGACCTCAGGGATATTTATTACAGTTTCCAGACCTTTCCTATTCCAGATTTTCTTCAGTGAATAGAGTTAACTGTAATCATTTGTTTACTCAAAGGTCTTTTAAAATTTGTTTAAAGATTTTATTGTTAAGTATAGTTTGGTAGTGTTAAGTATATTCACAGTATTGTGTAACAGAAGAGTTACTTATAAAATGAGAAATGATATAAAAATAATCTTAATAAAAACAAAACATTTTCTTTAAAAATTTTTGATGTATTGATTTCAACAAGATGGATGAGTGGAGAGAGAGAAACATTGATTTGCTCTTCCACTTCCGAGCTCGAATTTACGCATTATTGGTTGCTTCTGATCGGCGGAGGGAGACATTAAACCAGCAACCTTGGCCTTATCAGGACAATGCTCTAACCAACTGAGCTACCCAGCTAGGGCCAAAATATTGTCTAAAAGTGTTTTCGGAGTGACAGCTTTCCATTCTCATGGACATTTCTGCCCTCTGAATTTTCCAGGCTGTTTGGCTCCTGAGCTCCAGATACGGAAGTAAGAACGTACCTTCCCAGATGCCACGTCTTTCTTCGTTCCTGATAACTTCAAGAATGTTTTTGACTGGAAAACCGGTGACCTTCTCAGAAAGCCCAAGCTTGTGGTGGGTGGAAAAAAATGTTCGCCAAGATGCACGTGGTTTCCTGGCCACATCATTGTTTTCTTTTTAAAAAGATTTTTACATTGGTCTCAGCATTGAAACATTGTCTACTTGAGGAGTTTCAGGAGGGAATAAGGGGCTGTGATAGCATTGCATTCCCCATAGAAAAGACAGTCTTATCGGAGTGGAATCCCTCTTCCACCAGGCTTTCACTAAAATACATTTCTGGCTATTTTTGCTTTATTTTTAATAACTATCGCTTTGGTTTTCATTATACAGATTTTTAGAACTCATTTATTTTTGAGGATCTGAAGCAGAAAACTTGGCTTTTGTGTTTGATGTAGCCTCTTTATTGGACTCTGTTTATGAATAACAAAGTTCACTGTTGCCGGGTCTGCATCCAAGTTCCTTCTTTGTCACAATAGGTCCTGCTTGGCCACTTAGTGTAGCTGTCATTCCCAGGACTTTAAGGATAAAGTATTACTGGTTCCCACGGAAGAGAGGTGTAGAACAGGGGCAGACAGGTGTCTTATGGGAAATTTTCCCTGGCTTTGAAAGCACTCTGTTAAGGAGCCATTAGTTGTACAATTAAAAAAAAAAAAAAAGTTAAAGATTTTATTTATCCATTTTTAGAGAGATGGGAAGAGAGGGAGAGAAAAAGTGATGCGCAAGAGAAACATTGATCAGTTGGTTGCTTCGCATGTCTGCAACCAGGGACCTGGCCTGCAACCCAGGCACGTGCCCTGACTGGGAATCGAACCAGCAACCCTTCTTTTCACAGGCTGGTGCGCAATCCAGTGAGCCACACTGGCCAGGGCTATATAATTTTTAGAGTGAGAGTGATTTATTTGGTAATGGTGGGACCTAGTTCTGAAAGCTTGGGGTTTTTGGGTCTGTTTTTCAAGTGGGTGATTTCAAGGTTTAAAAAACAATGAGCCTCATTTGAGCATTTTGCACAGAAGCTTTGAAAGAGAGTCTGGTTTAATTGCCAAAATGAAACACTAGTGGTTACCACCTGGACCCCATAGGTGTTTGATTTGTCTGTTGTAGTTTTTGAAGTCCTGACTTAGGAGTGGATAGACCTGATGGGAGGAAAAAGCAAACACGCAGGCTTTTAGAACTAAATGAGCACTGAGCATTGAAAATGAAGCTAATTTTCCCAAAGACTTTTTGTTACACATTTTTGACCAAGAAGTTGACTTGTAACTTGAGTCATTTTGATTAGGCTTGTGCGAAACACCTAGGATTCTTTTTGGAGGCTGACAAAAAGAAACAATGTTCCCTTTTGGATTTTGCTCAATAAATGTTGGACAGGGATTGGACAAATAAGATTTTGACCTGGCCGCTCCTAGAAGAATTGAAGGGACCATAGATAAGATAAGGATGGGGTTTAGTTAGACCAGAGTCAAGTCCACTTGTAGTACTGCTCAGCTAAGGTCATTCCTCTTCATTGCTTCTATAGATTATTCCCTTGTCAAATCTGGCCAGGCATCTCCCCATGGTTTGTGAGTAGCAGGGGACATAGCTTCTGAATCAAGTTTTGCCCAGGCCTGTGTTCTTGCAGCAAGAATGGACATGCCAAGATCTTGGCTAGTCATTCTTCAAGGCGTGTGAATGGTGTGAGGAAACCTGTGCCTCATTCAGATTCACACCGAGGTTTCAATGAGGCGAGGCATTTGTGTGTTATGGGGATGAACCATTCTCAGAGAGGACAATGGTGTCATTGAGAATTTCTTTCAATCATTGTATTTTTCTCCAGAGAACTGTTATCTCATTGTTAAATTCTTATAAGCAGGGTGGCTTTAGGGGATGCATGTTGGAGCCTGCGGTACATTTTAACACCGCACATCGTGGATCTTTAGGAAGCTTTTCAAGAACTCTCTCTGGTACCAAAGCTTATCAGAGTTTGAATTTTGGGTGCATAGGATCCCACAGCATTTAAGTGTTCCTGTTCAGGGTCAGTTAGCTAAGGTTTTAGATTTCACCTCTGTTCCTTGCAGGAGGGACCTTGGCTGATTGCTTTCCCTCTCTAAGCCTCAATTTCCATGTCTCTAAAATGGGCTTGTCATGCCTACCTGGGTTTGTTGTGAGATTTGGTGGATTTGAATTTGGCACCAGGCAAGCACTTGATAGCCATGGGTTTCCTCACTGCTACGTTTTCTCACTTCTCACCTAGATTCATCATTCAATCCACACCTGCGCCATGAAGGGGCGATCACAACAATTTAAAAAATTGGAAACAATTTCCAGCATGGAAAATCTTTTCCCACCTTCCCACCCCCTTTACAGGGTTTTACGACATAGTCCCGATAGTGGGTAAGGCAGTTCCGGTTCTGCTGTTTCCATTTCAGCGTTGCATCTTTCGTATTTTCTGGGCTGCCAGAAAGGCTTCATGGTTCTCATTTTTAATTACTGTGCAGAGTCAATAAATCTCTCTTTAACCTGGGCCCTCTCTCTTGATTCAGTTGTACCTTGTCCACTGTTTTAAATGTCATAGCTGTCACCAGTGTTAGGACCTTCACTGGCTTCTCTCACTGGTACTTCCAGGAGCGCTCCATGCTACATCGTTATGTGCCGCCGTTATGGCTCTAGCAGCTTTCATTTATTTTACCTAGTTTTAGTTTCTTACTACCAATGCATGTGTTTATTGTAGAAAAATTATACTATACAGCTTGTTTCTATATTTTTTCCTACAGTACAATTCTTCATAACTGCAAATAAGCCATTGTAAGGATACATTAATTAATTTAACCAGCCTAAGTGATGGAGACTTGAGTTGTCTCCAGTTTTGGTCTGTTGTAAATAACACTGCAGTGAACTTATCAGTGTATTGTCCCCAGTGGCTTTTTGAGGTCACTGTCAACAAGAGACCCACCTTGACAACTGTAGGCTAAAAACACCAAAGAAAAATGCATCTTGGACATCTTACATCTTTGTCTTTATTTATTTATTGTTCATTCATTCGTTCATTTGTACATCTGTACCTATGTTTATACATGCATACATGCCAAAGGACTTGGTTCTAGATCCCTATCAGCTCTGTCCGGGATGTTAGGCTGCTTCAGTTTAAGCTGTGAATAAAGTTTTCAGCTCCACCCAGATAACTGTTTCTTCGTACGTACAAGTGACAGCAGTTGACATCACACCAGCTGGCTTTACACCTTGGTCCAGAAGGATCTTGGCCACCATCTAAGTAATAAGTGCCCACTACTGCTTGCCCTGGAGTGTGTTACCTGGAGCTGCTGCTGAGGTGAGAAGCTGCATGTGGAAAACAAAGAGAAGGCCAAGGCTTGCAGTGCCCGCACTGGCTGCAGACTTCAGGGTTCACATTGAACGCCCCCATTGGGGATTCATATTGGAAACCTTTTGCTTCCTTCACTCTTGCCACCTTAAGAATGGAACACATCCCTCTTTTGTGTGGGTTTCTCATAGCACTTCAGTTCCAGCTGCTCTAGAGTAGAAACTGGAAACCACCGAGGCAGCCTGTTTTGTAAATAAAGGTTTATTGGCACGAGGCCACCCACACCCCTTTGAAAATGTATTGTCTTTGGCTACTTTGGCTGCTTTTTCCAACAATGGGAGAGTTGCTGACAGAGACCATCCAGCCCACAGAGCTGAAAATATGGCCAACTGACCCATTTACAAGACACATTTGCCAGTCCCTTAACCAAGGGAATGATGGAGAATCTCAGGGTGCCCCATCTCTCCAAAGCCACTCAGGTGGAGTAATTTGTGTGCCTTGTGGTCTGGATTTTAATAAAGGCATTTGCAAACATGTTTTTCAAACTTGCTGAAAATAGAGCCAGCCATTTTCAGGTGATATGGTTAATAGACCAAAACCCGATTTTATGTCTCTCAGTAGTTAGGGATGAGGTCCCTCCTGGACTCGCTGCCATCTTTCCGAGCAGCAGTTCCCTGTGATAATGAGATTGGCTCTCTGAAGTGCTTAGATCCGAAAAGCCAGCGAGACTCATTAGTGAAGCATTTTCTTTTCATTCCAACCGGTTCATTTTCTTCTTAAGCAAATTTACATTTATGAAGTATTGACAAACCTCCGGATGTTCTCCTGTGTTGGTGAAAGCTGTAAACTGTTTTTGTTCTTAAAGCAACAGTCATGCGGGTTTTTGTTTTTGTTTTTTTTTTTTAATGTAAATTTGACCTGAGGGTTTGTTTTCACCCTTCCCTGGACTTTCAGTATTATGTGGAGGAAAGCACTTACTATGCTTCAAGCCCCTCTCTGACCCTTGAGCATTCCTGGAAGTAAGAGTTAGGTACTAGCAAGTGTTCATGGATGAGAATTCGGGCAAAGGGTCTGTAGCAAATCAGGAACTCAAAGTCCATGTTTTTCAACAACAACAAAAAATGGCCAAGAATTAATTTAGCATGTGGCTCCGTGGCTTGCTTTTTGTATTGACTGAACGAGGGTCAGCAAACTGCTGCCCATGTCTGGCCAACCACTTACCTTTTCAGAGCCCACGAGAGAGAATGGTTTTTACCTTTGTAAATGGTTGGGGGAAAATGAAAGGAAATCCATGGTGTTTTGTTCATAAATAAAGTTTTATCGGAACGCTGCCATGCCCAGTCGTTCATGTATCGTCAGTGGCTGCTTACGAGCTGCAAAAACAACTAAGTCAACATAAGAAATGTCCAAACCTGTAAGAATTTTCAATGAGTTTTTTTGAGCCAAAGTAATGACAATTGCCAGAAAGCAAAATCTTAGTGATTGAGAAAATGCTCCAGAGAATGGCCGTTTTCACTTCGTCGTATACAGTAGAGTCAAAGGGGAAGACAAGGGGATTCCGTGAAGTCTGTTGGCGATAGATTGGGGAGGCAGGGGAAAGCAAGTGGGGTGGGGATCTCTGGGATTGGATGAGAAGTCAAAGGAGACACTGCTTTTCTGTTCGCGGGTTAACAATGAACAGGATAACAATAACAATGAGGGGCTCTGTGGTGTCCTGCTGCTTTGGGAGATTGTGCCCCAAGGGGTCTGGTAAAAGGCGATTACTCTGACATTCCAAAGATGTGTTATCCTAGATGCAAAAGACAATAGTTTTAATTAAGGTAAAGATTGACCTTTGTCAAGAAACATACTGGCCTAGGACGCTACTACCTGCCAAGACTCGCTTTTAGCCAGAACTTTTTAATTTCAGAGCATGCTCTGTGACTACTTTAGGTGTCTGAGTTTGTAAGGCCCACCGTGCAGGCCTCCCCCGAGCCTGTCGGGTGAAATGTGGGCCCCCAGAGTACACTGGGGGAGTTGTAGAAGTTATTTCAGGGGCAATAAGGCTTCATTGCATCTAATTAGAGTTTATCGTGTGAATTGAGGAACAGTGGAAAAGGGGGTTGTGGCAAAAAAGGAAGATAGAGGTTTGGCCTAGACCTGGGCTCGGTCACTTACAGAGTGCGGTGTGGGGCAGTGTCTTGGCCTTCCTGCGTTCCACGTCCTCGTTGCGATAGGCAGCCGTGAAGGAGAAAGCTTTGAAATGAGCCTCTAACCCACCTGACACAGGGCAGGCCCTCAGTAAGTGGTGTTATTTTCATCAGTGTTACTACTTTTATTAAAAGACACCCCTGACAGGGTTTTATGAGGCTTAAATGAGATGGTGTCTTAGGCAGCTCGAGCTGCCATAATGAAATGTCACAGACCGGGTGGCTGAAACAACAGACATTTATTTTCTCACAGTTCGGGAGGCTGAAAGTCCAAGATCGAGGAGCTGGCAAGGTTACGCTGAGTCCTCTCTCCTCAGCTTATGGACAGCCACCTTCTGGCTGTGTCCTTATGTGGCCTTTCCTCTTTGTGCGTTCCTGGTATTTCTCTTCTCACAAGGGTATCAGTGATACTGGATCAGAGCCCTGCCCTTAAGACCTCATTTAACCTTTGTTACCTCTTTAAAGGCTCTGTTTTCAAATATAGTCGCATTGGGGGTTAGAACTCCTGTAAATGAATTTTGAGAGCACACAATTCAGTCTACGTATAACAGGTGGTCAAGGATCTGACCTATTCAGCGGCTGTTAGTTATTTCCTTGGTTAACAGTCTGCCTCAGGCATTAATTTTTTTTTAAGCTGACCCTGAGAACTGCTGCAAAGGGATTTATCTCCTGATGTTTCATAATAAAGTATTTGTGTGGAAGTGGAGGGTGGCATCCACCCTGGCGTCTCAGACTTTGATGACCCATGAATTCCCTGGGGGTCTTGGTGACGTATGGATCGGATTTAGTAGGTTGTGGGCACAGGCTGCGAGTCTGCACGTCTAACCAGCTCCCAGGGATTGCCCATGCTGCTGGTTCCCTGACCACACTTTGAGGAGCGAAGGCCTATGTTGTTCGTTAATAAGTAGCCACTAACCACATCTAGTTATTTCTGTTTCCATCTCAGTTAACTAAAACTAAAACCCCAACCCCTCAGTCATAGTAGCTACATTTCAAGTTCATTTCGTTGCAGAAAGCTCTAACTGGGCAGTGCTACCTGTAAAGAAGAGGGTATAAGCCTTTCTTAGTCAAAGGTCTGCTTAGTGTCGCTGGGGCAGCTATAACAAATGGCCACCAACTTCACAGCTTAAAACAGCATGAATTTATTATCTTATAGATCTGGAGGCCAGAAATCCAGAAAGGGTGTCACTGGGCCACAGTCACGGAGTTGACAGAGCTGGTTCCTTCTGGAGGCTGTGGGGGAGAATCAGTTTCCTTGCGTTTTCCAACTTTTAGAGGCTACCTGCATCCTTTGTTTATGGCTCCTTCCTGGTCCAAGCCAGATGGCATGTCCCCAGCACACAGTAGGTCCTCACTGCTGTGGCCTATCCCAAAGCCCAGACAGCAGAGCCAGTTCCAGATTCAGAATTCCCACTTCGCAGCGCACATCCTGTGTGTGACAGGACACCCCAAGGCGTCTGGGCTAGGGCACGCTCATCAGAGTGATAATTTCTTTTGCAAAACATCCAGTATTCACTCAAAGTTGAATAAGCAAAGACTGTAAATGGCTTAAGACAAGCTTTGCCACCAAACAGCTTTGTTGCAAACTTTAGTGAAGACGTAGCTTTCAGAGCTTCGAGGTTCTGGAATGAATGGTGGGGTGGGCCTGTGGGCCTGTGCTGTCAGTCCTTGTCCTGTCTTTCCTTGGGACGTCGCCTCTCCTTTTTGGGCATCTGTGACAGGGATGCCTTGGGACCAGGTACTGCCCAGGATTTGACTCTCCTTCCTCTCTCTGAAGCCTACTTCATGTTTGTAGGAAAGGCCCTGTGGAGCATGTTCCCTCTCATCATCTTGTTCCCTGTTTTGAGGTTCAATTTGGTGCCTGTGTTTCTGAGAAGATCCATTGGTTGGTTTGGGTCCTTTTTTTCATGGCTTCTGTCTGCTTCCATTTTTCTGCCCTCTTTACAGTCTCCCCGTTGACATCCACCCCCCCCCTTTTTTTTTTTTTTTTGACATCCACTTATTGGCCTTTGTCTACTTCTCAGGGAAATGGCTTGTACCTGATTTGGTTTATGTGCTTCCCTGCAAACCTGGGAACCCTGAGCTTTGGGCCAGAGTCAGCACATGCCAAAACTCTAGCCACATGAATTTGGTGAGGTCACTCTGAGGAGGAAGAACCAGGTCACATAGTGGATAATCTGACAAGAGCAGAGAACGCTTACTTAGGGCTTATGAGGAATAAGTCTGTCCAGGAACGGGGGCAGCACACGTGTATAGCATGTTTCGGAGTGTAAAATACATGTGATGTGTGGTATGTGAAAAGAGCACCTGGAAAGTCCAAGGGCTTAGGTGAGAGGAATTGGGAGACCACTGAGTTTTTAGAGCAGGGGCCAGGAAGATCCAAACCATGTGTTAGAAAGGGCTGCCTGGAGCAGAAAAGGCCAATCCTGGATAAAAGCCACAATGAATTTATAGTTTATCCTACAGTTTCTTTATTGAGAAAAAAAATGATGATCTGATTTTATTTCTCTAGAGATTTAAACAAAATGTTCATCAAATCATTCTCTAGAGAATTAGAACAGTTACTGATTTTGTTCCTTTGCTTCATTAGAGTAATAGAATATAAAACTACACTAAGCAAAGTAATAGCCTCTAATCTAACAAGCAGACCATCATAGCAAAATAATCTGATTGT